GCTGCAATGTCCAGGCGGAGAACCGCTGGCAACGAGTCCTCCTCCCCCTCCTCGTCCTCCTCATCGGCCTCCTCCTCCGCCTCCTCCTCCTCCTCCTTCTCCTTCTTATCCTCCAGGCCCTCCATCTTTCTATCGTGCCAATGGGCTTCCTCCTCCACCGGCACCTGCTCCTGCAACTCCCTGAAACACGACCACCCCTGCCTCCCCCTCATCATCGTCGTCGTCCTCCTCATCCTGGCCGTCCTGCCCATCCTGCTCTTCCCGCTCCCTCTCTTCTTCTTCATCCTCTCCCTCCTCCTCCTCCTCTTGCTCGTGCTCCTGCACCTCCTGTTCCTCTGCCTCCTCCCCCTCATCTTCCTCCCTCCCTCCTCCTCGTGCTCATGGTTCCCCTCCTCCTTTCTTCCCCTCATCCTCATCTTGTGCCTCCTCCTCCCCCTCCTCCATCTTCCTCCTCCTCATTGTCCTCCCCCTCCCCCTCGCGCAGCCCGAAAGCGCCGCAAGGCGGGCGCCCGACCGCGACCGCGCGCCTCGGCCTCGCGCTGGGGCCTCCTCCTTCGCAAATCTCTGGCGGAATGACCCAAGAATCCGGCACCCGCCCACTCCGTTACCGTCTGGGGGCTGGGCGAGGGCCGCAACGACGTCACGGTAGCATCCGAAAGCCAAATCGGCCCCAAGGTTAAGGTCGAGAGCTCCGCTACCTGATCGTGTCTGACAGGTTGGGATGCCCAGTTCGGGCCCACCCACGTTTCGGAGTAGGAAGGACTAGTTCACGGCGGAGGCCTTTTTTTTTATCTGTGTAGGCGCCGCGCGAGCACGGCGGTTTCATGCAGGCATTCTAGGGCCCCGCCACCGCTCAGCGCCCGATCTCCTCCAAGAAGGCGGCGTAGAGCTCGGCGAGGTCGCGGGCGCGGGCGGCCGCAGCGCCCTGGGGGCCCTCGAGCTGCGGCCCGCCGCTCCCGCCTTCGGCCGCAAGCGGCAGCACTTCGCCATCGCCGTCGATGCCCTGCTGCCGCTGCGTGGGGCCCAGGCGGACGCCGTACTCTATCGAGTGGTCGCGCGCCGCCGTGGGCTCGGGCGGGGCCTGGTTGTCCTTGGGGAGGCGCCGCAGCTCGATCCCGATGCCGTGCATCTCGGGCTGCGTCCCCGCCTCCAGACAGCAAGTTCAGATGGTCACCACCTGCGTGGCCTCAGCCGCAGGGGGACCCTCCGAGGCCTCCGCGCGCCGCGCCGCCAGCCGCCGGCCACATGCGAATCCCTCTCCGAAGGCCCGCGCCTCCAGCTCGGGGTCGCTTGGCTGCCAGCAGCCTGGCGCCAGCCAGTTCGCGCCCGGGACGTCCTCGGGCGCTGCCTGGGGCAGCTCTCTCTCGTGCAGCATCCTCTGCACCTGCTGAGCCGCATGCCCCTGCTTCTGCGCGGCCCCCGCCTTGTCCTCGTGCACCTCCTCCGTCGCCGAGGGGTTGAGGAAGGGGGGCTTCCCGAGGCGCTCCTGCTTCTGCGCCTTCCTGAGCTCGTACGCCGCCGCCCCTGCGATGCGCCCCTTGATGGCGCCCGCCTTGGCGTGCAGCGCGACGTTCCTCCTGAGCCGCGCCAGCCAGGAGGGCTGCTCGCCGTTGACCAGCGCGCCCAGCGCAGGCACCACCGCGGCGAGCCTGTCGGCCAGCTCAGCATCGCCCGCGAAGGCCTCCAGCGTCCTCTCGGCGAGGGCCAGCCGCTCCACGAGCTCCTCCACCCGCGCTCGGGCATGCCGCACGGCGGCGTCCGCCGCCGAGCGCGCCCGCCGCGCAGCCTCGCTGCGCTCCGCGCGTGAGCGTGGGGGCCTGCGGGGGTCCCCTCCCGTCGCCATCACCTCAAGCAGCTGCTGCGCCCGGACCGGCCATGAGCGGAGGCAGATGGCAGCCAGGGGCTTGAGACCGGCTTGAGCCAAAATGGCTACGGAGACGGCGGAGGCCTTTTTTTTTTTTTTTTTTTTTTTTTTTTTTTTTTTTTTTTTTTTTTTTTTTTTTTTTGTATATATATATATATATATATATATATATATATATGCGTGTAGGCGCCGCGCGAGCACGGCGGTTTCACGCAGGCATTCTAGGGCCCCGCCACCGCTCAGCGCCCGATCTCCTCCAAGAAGGCGGCGTAGAGCTCGGCGAGGTCGCGGGCGCGGGCGGCCGCAGCGCCCTGGGGGCCCTCGAGCTGCGGCCCGCCGCTCCCGCCTTCGGCCGCTAGCGGCAGCACTTCGCCATCGCCGTCGATGCCCTGCTGCCGCTGCGTGGGGCCCAGGCGGACGCTGTGCTCTATCGAGTGGTCGCTCGCCGCCGTGGGCTCGGGCGGGGCCTGGTTGTCCTTGGGGAGGCGCCGCGGCTCGATCCCGATGCCGTGCATCTCGGGCCGCGTCCCCGCCTCCAGACAGCAAGTCCAGATGGTCACCACCTGCGTGGCCTCAGCCGCAGGGGGACCCTCCGAGGCCTCCGCGCGCCGCGCCGCCAGCCGCCAGCCACTTGCGAATCCCTCTCCGAAGGCCCGCGCCTCCAGCTCGGGGTCGCCTGGCTGCCAGCAGCCTGGCGCCAGCCAGTTCGCGCCCAGGACGTCCTCGGGCGCTGCCTGGGGCAGCTCTCTCTCGTGCAGCATCCCTCTGCACCTGCTGAGCCGCATGCCCCTGCTTCTGCGCGGCCCCCGCCTTGTCCTCGTGCACCTCCTCCGTCGCCGAGGGGTTGAGGAAGGGGGGCTTCCCGAGGCGCTCCTGCTTCTGCGCCTTCCTGAGCTCGTACGCCGCCGCCCTTGCGATGCGCCCCTTGATGGCGCCCGCCTTGGCGTGCAGCGCGACGTTCCTCCTGAGCCGCGCCAGCCAGGAGGGCTGCTCGCCGTTGACCAGCGCGCCCAGCGCAGGCACCACCGCGGCGAGCCTGTCGGCCAGCTCAGCATCGCCCGTGAAGGCCTCCAGCGTCCTCTCGGCGAGGGCCAGCCGCTCCACGAGCTCCTCCACCCGCGCTCGGGCATGCCGCACGGCGGCGTCCGCCGCCGAGCGCGCCCGCCGCGCAGCCTCGCTGCGCTCCGCGCGTGAGCGTGGGGACCTGCGGGGGTCCCCTCCCGTCGCCATCACCTCAAGCAGCTGCTGCACCCGGACCGGCCATGAGCGGAGGCAGATGGCAGCCAGGGGCTTGAGACCGGCTTGAGCCAAAATGGCTACGGAACGGCGGAGGCCTTGGATAAGGAAACCTTGGATCAGGAATCCAGGGTCTGGAAGCCTGTTGAGATCCAATTGTGGATCGGCCATGCATCGCCACCGCCCTCATCAGATAAGGAATCCTCCAGGGTCTGGAGCCCCCTGGGCACACTCCTGAACCAACGTGGCGGGATAAGGTGTTGTAGAGGATGGCTTGTGTTGTATGACAAAGCATAAACACGTGTGATGGTCAATTTCAACAATGCGGAGGGGGGGAAAATGGCAAAATGCGTCCGCCCCCAGTTGTTGTGAGCCGGGAGGTCTGTAATCGCAGCTGGGCGGACGAAGGAACGAGGATACGGTGACGGTCACCGCGCCACTGGGTGACTTTACGCGGTGGCGCACGCAAGCCGCTCGCACGGCAGACCGCGTGAACAAGAGGGCGCCGACGCGCCACCTTCCGCGGGCAGCTCGCGCGCGAGTGCCCGCGCAATCGACCCTCTTCGGAAGGACCGCAGGTGAGCGGACAAGCCAAAGACAAATTGACACAAAAACACAGTGACCCAAACAATCCCCCGCGGACTTCTGCCCGCCCGCCGCCCTTCCCAGACCCCTCTTCCGCGATGGGCTGCGTAATCGACCCCCCTCTGGATTCCAGTTGCGATTTCGGGTGCGGCCCGACATGCGTCGCCTCATTGCGGATTCGGTTGCGGTTGCGCCCGCGGCCGGGCTGAAATGTGTCGCCTGATTGCGGTTGCGGTTGCGCCCGCGGGCGGCTTGAAATTTCTCGCCTGGGTGCGGTTGTGGTTGCGGTTGCGCCAGCGGGCGAGTTGAAATTTCTCGCCTGGGTGCGGTTGCGGTTGCGCCCGCGGGCGGGTTGAAATGTGTCGCCTGGTTGCGGACGCGGTTGCGCCCGCGGACGGGTTGAAACGTGTCGCCTGGTTGCGGTTGCGGTTGCGGTTGCACCCGCGGGCTGATTGAAATGTGTCGTCTCGTTGCGGTTGCAATTGCGCCCGCGGGCGGCTTGAAATGTACCGCCTGGGTGCGGTTGCGGTTGCGGTTGCGCCTGCGGGCAACGATGTTGGAATACACCCTCCCTCCAAGCTTCCTCTTCACAAGCCCCTACAACTCCACTGAAGGAAATGCCACGCTGGGGGGCAACCGTGTGAAAATCCTTGAGCGTATCAAAACATCATTCTCAGTACTTCAACGCCGCGAATCAACCTGACTGCTGCGTCTTGACGATCCTGAACCGTGCCAGAGCACCATTCCTGGAACTTCAACACAGTGAATCAATGGAACTTTGCGCCCTAACAGTCTTGAGTCGTTCCACACCAAAATTTATGGTGCGTTCGCCATGCGAAACAATGAAACTCTTGCAAATGTTTGTAAATAATGTGCGCGGCGCTAAAACGAAATTAATATGTTGAAAATCATCTGTCCGCAATCCGTGAAGCTTCTGCCATTTGTTAGGGCGAATGTGCGCGGCGCTTCGGCGGGAGCCACATTTTGAAAACCACCCCCCTCCGTAGGTGAAGCTGCTGCCAGCCTTTAAACTACAGGCTCATACGTGATAAGAAAATCTCAAGCGAAACGCCTGGCCCGCCCTTCCGATTGGCCTCGGGGAGCGACAGCGAGGAGTTACTCAGGAACAAATGGATGAGGAGGAGGAGCAGGAGCAGGAGCAGGAGGAGGAGGAGGAGCAGGAGGAGGAGCAGGAGGAGGAGCAGGAGGAGGAGGAGGAGGAGGAAGAGGGCGAGGAGGAGGAGGAGGAGGAGGAGGAGGAGGAGAAAGAGGACGAAGGCGGATAACTAGGGCGAGGGCGAGGAGGACCACGAGGTCTGGTTGGGCCTGCGGACGCCGAACGCTCTCACTCGACCTGCCCCCGCTGCCGCAGGCAGCGCGCGTAGAGCGGGGCCGCCGGGCCGGGGCAGCCGAGCAGGCTGCTGCCGTGCGCGTAGCCGCCCCCATGCCCCGCGCGGTTCAGGTACTGCGCGGCCGCCTCGCGCTCGGCGGAGGCCGCGCACACCTCTTTGAGAGGGCGCCCGGCCATCTGCGGCCATGAGCTTTTGCTGAGCGTGTCGCGGCGGCGCACCCTGCAACACGCCATGCCTTGGAAAGCTGACAGCGTGCCGCCCCTGAGGCTGCGCTCGACGCGGGAAAACGCGTCGCACTGGAGGTCTGGAAACACTCGGACTGCTGGTAGCGTGTCGCGCCAAAGTGAGGCGGACCAGAACCGACGGCGCGACACGCTAACCTTCCTGACCGCATGTCGATTAACACACAGAACACCAAGCATACCTGTCCAAGTACTTGATGGCACGGCGCACCTTCCAGCACGGCACGGTCAGCAGTACGCGGCGATCTGGGACGCCTGGCCTCGCGCCTCGCGGCCGTGCGCACGCGTGCAGTCATCTCCGCGTCCTCGCGCCGCCGCTCTGGAGAAGGGCTGTTTTGGTTGCAGTCCAGTCGGCAACACGCGCCGGGCGACTATCTTCACACCCCTGTGGGTGTCTATATTCTACGTCTGGCGCAGAGCGCCCAGCATATGCTCTACGTAATCCGTTTCTGGATGCTCTGATTGTTGCACTGGCCCCCCCCCTGGAGAAGATGCACGAAGACAAACCTAAGCACGCATGTCTGTATGCCTCTTCGCCCCCTGAGCCTTCACGTCCCGCGCCGACAGGCCCGCGGCCGCCGTGGCTGCGGCCAAGGCCCGCCGCTCTTCCGGCGTCAAATGGCCCGCGTACTTGGACCTTGGCACGCCCGAAACAGGAACGGAAAACGTGGGGGGCGATCACCACCGACGAATGTTGTTCGAAGCCGACTGTGGTCGGTGCTGGGCAAGCGACCCTTAGCCCCAAATGAACAAGACCCGCGGCGGCACCGACAACGAATCCGGTTCAAAATGGGCAGGAGCTGCTGTCGATCTTCGCCCCCGCTGCGCCCATGCCCATGTCGGTCCCCCCAGGGGACCACACTGGCTCCACCTGTTCGCGGGATGGCAACTGGAAGTCCACCACCTCGCCGCGCTGGACCACGTCTCGCGGAATCTTGCCCACATTGTTCGTGGTACCGGCAACCAACACACGCCCGCCGCTGCTGCTGAGCGTGCCGTCGAGAAACTGCCGGAACTGCGCTGGGAATCGCGCCGCCACCTCGGACTTGTCGTCTGCGAGATCTGTGAAGAAGCCGTCCAGCTCGTCGAACAGCAGCATGCAGTCGCGACCACGCACCGCTTCCTCCACGCGGCCTAGCCAACCCTCGCTGCGATGGTCCACCATTACCAGCGGAAGCCCCATCGCGCGGCTCCACGCCAGCGCGTGCCGCGTCTTGCCCGTGCCAGGCGGCCCGCTCAACAGCACGAGCTGCGGCCACTGCGGCTCGGCCCCCGCGCCGCTGTCGCCGAGGGGTTCGCCCAGCGCCGCGCGCCAGAGCGCCTGCGCCGCACCGGGGCTGGCGCTGAGACTCTCCTCCGCCGCAAGAGCCTCGCGGGGCGGCACGCGGCACACCTGCTCCTGGTAGCGGCGGAAGTCCTCGCTGAGCATGGCGAAGTAGGAAAGCAGCTTCAGCTGCTCGCGCTCGGTGCCCACGAGGCCTGCGTCCGTGAATGCGCGCGCGCCCAGCGGCGCGCACGGGCCGCGCACCTCGCGGCACACGGCGCTGCCGCGCAGCGGCGCAGCGTGCCCCGCCGCGCCTTGCGGCGCCCCCACCCCGTCGGCCTGGTGCCCGGCGGCCGCGGCGCCGCCGGGCGCCGCCGGCGGCCCTCCGCGCTGCAGGGACACCTCCAGGTCGTCAATCTCGAGCGACACTGGCGGCGCCGGTCCCGGCTCTGCAGGGCCGCCCGCCGCGCCGACGTTGCCCATGCCGAAGCGGCGCCTGGTCGCTTACACGAGGAGCGCGCGGGGTACGTGTCGGCAGCCGCGGCCGAGCGCCATTGATGGGTGCATGCGGCCGCCAGGACTCGCCTGCGGCCAGGCTTGAATCGAAGAAGAGCGATGGAGGAGAGGAGCGGGGAGGGGAAGCAGAAACGAAGGACGAGCCGAGGGAAGGCGTCGCGAAGGAGCTCAGATGGGAGGACACCGTGCATGCACGGCGGCATTATATGGCTGCGGGAGTCAAGTAGCACCAGTGATGGAGGTGCAGGAGCAGGACGCCCAGAAAGCCCAGAACATAACCCATAACTCCCTCGATCTCAACTCGGTGCGACATCAAGAGACCATCGATGCTGTCATGGCCTCGGTCGAAGTTTCCCAAAACATCGTGTATCACACCATAGAGACCGTTGACAAACTCCACGGCAAGATCTTGACGGAACACGATTGAACAAGAGCATGTGACCCTGTCCGTGAACAGATAGAGCCATCATTACCAACTGCGGCTGGCCTGTGGACGTGACGGCCTTCAAATGCCACATCGAAATCCAATGGCTTGAGGATCCTATACCAGGTGATCTTCCCTGCCCTTTTCAAGATCGCGGGCAGCCTGCCCAGGCCATCACCTATCGCAACGCTGCGGAGAAACTGTTCACATGACACTCTTTCCCACAAGCAGAAATATTGGCAACTATTGGACAACAATTCTCTCTCGTTGGTGCAGGGGTTAATGTCAACAATAGATGAAGCCACGGCTATTTCCAATTCTCGCGGTTCTGATCTGCAGAACCCTGGGTTGCCAGCAGCGGCGCTCCCACTGGGTCTTTTTTTCCCAATTGGGTCTTCGTTTTGAAAAGACAGCGCCCCGCGTCTCACCTCCTCCCGCTGCCCCCTCCCTCCTCCCCCTCCTCCCTCCTCCCATCCGCCTCGTCATCGCCATCGTCATGATCCACATCATCATGATCATCACCATCGCCATCGTCAGCGCCGCGCCCCTCACACGGTTCGTGGCACCACAGGGAGCTCCACCGAAGGCCAAAGTGGCAGCGGTTGCATGCGTCAGCGCCGCCCCCCCCCCCACACACTGGTTGGTGGGACACCCTAGCTCTGGAGTAGACCCACTAAAAGAAATGGCTACTCAACATATGGAAACGTATGCGGTGCCGCGTGTTAGTTTACCGCATCGAGCGGCAGTGTTGAACAATGATCAGTAGCAGCCCCAGCGGCGCACCCGTGAAGGTGCCCGTGAAAACGGCGCTGGGTGGAAAACGCGGTGTCCCCCCGCCCCCGCTGGGAAAACTCATCAGAACGACAATCAACAGAAACCCGCAACGGCCTAAGCGCCGCAGTGGCGGGCACCCACGGAGCCCGTCCAACAACCACGCAGAGAGAGGACTTCTACAACGTTTCCACTCGTCACCGAGTCGTTGCCTCAATCCGCAGTGGTGCCGTAGGGGTGATCCTAGGGGCGACCGCCGCAACCCGTCGACCTTTGCGGTCCCTGCCGATGGCCACTCCAAAGAGCCTGGCAGCGGCAGCGGGTGGCGGTGCGAAGTCAGGCCTCTACCGTCGCGTCGACTGGCACTCTTATGATGCCGCTTTGTAAAGCCGCTCGTTGGCGACAGGTCGCTCTTACAGGTCTTACAGGTCTACGCCGCGTCATTGTGGCACATCCCTCACACGGTTCGTGGCCCCATAGGGAGCTCCACCGAAGGCCTCAGTGGGAGCGTCCGCATGGCACCGCCGCCCCATTTCGGCACACCCCTCACACGGTTCGTGGCCCCACAAGGAGCTCCACCGAAAGCCCCAGCGGGAGCGTCCGCATGGCACCGCCGCCTCATTTTGGCGCACCCCGCACACGGTTCGTGGCCCCATAGGGAGCTCCACCAGAGGCTCCAGCGGGAGGGTCCGCATGGCATCGCCGCCCCATTTTGGCACACCCCTCACATGGTTCGTGGACCCATGGGGAACTCCACCGAAGGCATCAGCGGGAGCGTCCACATGGCACCGCCGCCCAATTTGGCACACCCCTCACACGGTTCGTGGCCTCATAAGGAGCTCCACCGAAGGCCCCAGCGGGAGCGTCCACATGGCACCGCCGCCCCATTTTGGCACACCCCTTACACGGTTCGTGGCCTCCATAGGGAGCTCCACCAAAAGCCCCAGCGGGAGCGTCCGTATGGCACCGCCGCCCCATTCCGGCACCCTCACACGGTTCGTGGCCTCACAAGGAGATCCACCGAAGGCATCAGCGGGAGCGTCCACATGGCACCGCCGCCTGATTTTGGCACACCACGCACACGGTTCGGGGCCCCATAGGGAGCTCCACCAGAGGCCCCAGCGGGAGCGTCCGCATGGCACCGCCGCCCCATTTTGGCACACCCCTCACATGGTTCGTGGCCCCATAGGGAGCTCCGCCGAAGGCCCCAGCGGGAGCGTTCGAAAGGCACCGCTGCTTCATTCTGGCACACGCACATGGTTCGTGGCCTCCATAGGGAGCTCCACCGAAGGCCCCAGCGGGAGCGTTCGCACAGCACCGCCGCCTCATTTTGGCACACCCCTCACACGGTTCGTGGCCCCACAAGGAGCTCCACCGAAAGTCCCAGCGGGAGCGTCCGCACGGCACCGCCGTCCCATTTGGCACGCCCCTCACACGGTTTGTGGCCCCATGGGGAGCTCCGCCGAAGGCCCCAGCGGGAGCGTCCGAAAGGCACCGCTACTTCATTCTGGCACACCCCTCACCCGGTTCGTGGCCCCACAAGGCGCACCCCTTACACGGTTCGTGGCCCCACAAGGAGCTCCACCGAAAGGCCCAACGGGAGCGTCCGCATGGCACCGCCGCCTCATTTTGGCACACCCCGCACACGGTTCGTGGCCCCATAGGGAGCTCCACCAGAGGCCCCAGCGGGAGCGTCCGCATGGCACCGCCGCCTCATTTTGGCACACCCCTCACATGGTTCGTGGCCCCATAGGGAGCTCCGCCGAAGGCCCCAGAGGGAGCGTTCGAAAGGCACCGCTACTTCATTCTGGCACACCCCTCACATGGTTCGTGGCCTCCATAGGGAGCTCCACCGAAGGCCCCAGTGGGGGCGTCCGCATGGCACCGCTGCCCCATTTCGGCACACACCCTTTACATGGTTTGTGGCCTCCATAGGGAGCTCCACCAAAGGCCCCAGTGGGGGCGTCCGCATGGCACCGCTGCTCCATTTCGGCGCACCCCTCCAACGATTCGTGGCCCCAGAGGGAGCTCCACAGAAGGCCCCAGCGGGAGCGTCCGCATGTCACGGGCCGCGCACGGGGCTCGGGCGAAACCAAGAAGACTCTCTGCTCGCCCGCGTCAACTTTTCTCCCCCTCATGCGCGCCGCAGTCCTTTTTGCTGCCCCCCCTCCTTCGTCTCCTCTCCCTCGCCGTACTCGCAGCAGCATATGGTTGGGTCTTTCGTCAGGCTAATTTTGCAGAGGAGGCCAAATTGACGAAGGAGGGTGCGATCAACGTCAACAAAACCCTGCCCTGGATAATCGCGAGCGACAAAGTGAAACGAAAGGTCGAGGAGGAGGAGGAGCAGGCAGTAGTCACACAGGAACACATTTCAGCCCTCATGAGAGCACCACCTTCTGTCAGATTTGCGGCAACTGTCAAGCAAGTGGTCGGAGCCAAACATGGCTACATTGATTGGTGGCACCCCGGCAGAAAATTGTGTTCCGACCGCTGCGGAGGCCAAGAACTCATCTACACCCAGGCGAGTTTTCACCAAAAAAGAGCAGGCCCATAGATAGAAAGATCGGACGTCGTTTCCGAGACCAAGCAAAAAGGCGAGGCCCCTGGTGATGGGAAAGGCAGACCCCTGGGCAACCAGCAGAAGAGCCAAGAAGACCCCCACTTCACTCCAAAGGGCAAACCCAAGGGCCAGAAGGGTGACACCAATGGCTCCGAGGGCAAGGGCATGGACAAGGGGAAAGGCAAGGTGACGGGCCATCCATAGCCGAAAGGAGCAGGGAGAAGCGCTCAGCGTGGTGCCGCTCCCAGAGGCAGAGGACGCAATGCGAGGAGTGGAGCATGAACACCGAATTCATAAAACTCGTGGACGGCATGCATACAGATGATATGTTGTGGCTTCTGAGTGATGGCTGTCAACTGCAAAACGTATGTGCAAATCATCATGGGCATACTTGCCACCACCTGGAGACAAGTGATTTCCCATGGCCAATGCTTTGATGTCTAGCGAGGGGATACGGTACGGTGCGCGGTGGCCAGGTACCATTTCTATGCAACGCTATGGCTATGAAATGCCATGCAATGCCACGCAATGGTTTGCGACGCGAGACGAACCATGCAATGCTATGCAATGCGATACGATACTATACAACGTTATGCTAAATGCTGCCGTGTCGTGCCAAACCCGACAATAGAATGCAATGCACTGCACTGCACTGCAATGCAATGCAATGCCATGAGGTTCAACATCCACCATCATCGTGATCGCGAGCATCACCATCATCGTCACCATCGTCGCCATTACTATTGCTGTTATCGCCACACATATTCTCGGCCATCGGGGTTGCGGAGAATTGCCGAGGAGTGCCGCGGAGTGCCGAGGAGTGCCGAGGGGTGCCGAGGTGTGCCGAGGAGTGCCAGTTCATACCGAGGAGTGCCGAGGAGCGCGAAGGAGTGACGAGGTGCATGTGTGCGGAGAGTTTTTGGAGAGGGTTGCGGAGGAGTGCCGAGGAGTGCAGAGGATTACCGAGGAATGCCGAGGAGTGCGGAGGAGTGCGGAGGAGTGCCGAGGAGTGCGGCGGAGTGCCGAGGAGTGCCGAGGAATGCGGTGAAGCGCGATGGAGTGGGGAAGCGTGCCGAGGCGTACGGAGGGTCTTGGAGAGGGCTGCGGAGGAGTGCCGAGGAGTGCGCAGGAGTGCGCAGGAGTGCCGAGGAGAGCCGAGAAGTGCCGAGGAGTCCGAGGAGTGCCGAGGAGGCCGAGGAGTGCGGAGGAGTGTCGAGGAATGCGGAGGAGTGCGGAGTGAGGCTGGCCGCTCCTGTCGACGGTCCTTATCGCGGGCGGCCAGGTGCTCTTCTGGCAGCCAGGCTGCCGCGCGGCTGGCGGCGCTCGGGGGGCACTTGATCGCCGCGCGCGCGGGTCAGGCGCCCCCGGCGGCGGCGGTGGAGGCGAGGGCGACGACGTCGTACACGCTGCGCGATGTGGCCTCCCGTCGTCGCGGCGGTCGAGGGTCCAGGTGTTCGGGCGCCTTTCTCCCTGGTTTGGGCCTCGGGGGGCGCTCCCCGTCGCCGCGGCCGGATCCGCCTCGAAGTCCTGGCCAGAACGCACCCCTGGAGAGGTCCTGGGGTCGATTTTGGAGGGGAGAGGAAGGAACTGAGAAATTCTGGGGGGATGAGGACATGGGAAGCTGTAGCCCCAGCGAGGAGGAGAAAACCAGAAGAGGGAGAATTGCTACTCGAGACCGTGTGACTG